TAGAATTCATTCATTCATTTATTTATTTATTTATTTGGTTTTTCGAGAAAGGGTTTCTCTGTTGCTTTGGAGCCTGTCCTGGAACTAGCTCTGTAGACCAGGCTGGTCTCGAACTCACAGAGATCCGCCTGCCTCTGCCTCCTGAGTGCTGGGATTAAAGGCGTGTGCCAATACCGCCCAGCTTTTTTTTATTTATTTATTAAAGATTTCTATCTCTTCCCCACCGCCGCTGCCCATTTCCTTCCCCCTCCCCCAATCAAGTCCCCCTCCCTCGTCAGCCCAAAGAGCAATCAGGGTTCCCTGGCCTGTGGGAAGTCCAAGGACCACCTACCTCCATCCAGGTCTAGTAAGGTGAGCATCCAAACTGCCTAGGCTCCCACAAAGCCAGTAAGTGCAGTAGGATCAAAAACCCAATTATTAACAGAAGAAACTCAAATGGTCAAAAGACCTTTAAGAAATTGCTCAGCATCCTTAGCCAACAGAGAAATGCAAATCAAAACAACTCTGAGATACCATCTAATACCAATCAGAATGGCTAAAATCAAAAACACTGATGACAGCTTATGCTGAATAGGATATGGAATAAAAAGAACACTCTTCCATTGCTGGTGGGAGTGCAAACTTGTACAGTTACTTTGGAAATCAGAATGGCAGTTTCTCAGAAAATTGGGGTTCAATCTACCTCAAGACTCAGCAATACCACTCTTAGGCATATATCCAAAGGATGTACGATCATACCACAGGAATATTTGCTCAACTATATTCATAGCAGCATTATTTGTAATAGCCAGAACCTGGAAACAACCATGATGCCCCTCATCCAAAGAATGAATAAAGAAAATATGTTACATTTACACAATAGAGTACTTACTACTCAGTGACATAAAACAATGACATGTTGAAATTTGCAGGCAAAATGATGGAAATAGAAAAAATCATCTAAATGACGTAATCCAGTCCCAGAAAGACAAACATAGTATGTGATCTTTCGTAAGTGGATGTTAGATATAAAGCCAAGGAAAGCCAAGCTACAATCCACATTCCAGATGAAGCTAGGTTAAAAAGGTGACTGTAAGAGGGACCCACATGGAGGACACCAGGAAGGATTCTCTAGACTAATTGGGAGCAGGGGAAAAGGTAGGGATGGGGTTTTGGAACATTAGGGATAAAGAATACTGAGCTAGGGGAGGTACAGAAGGGGAGCATAATGAAAAAGTTATCTTTTTTGTGGGAAATAACTTTTTATTTTAAATATATCAAAAACTTTATATTAAGGAACCCCTTCTCCCTCCCTATTCTCAAAGCATTTGCAGTGACAGCTTGGGTTCCTAGAGAGCCAGTCACTCATGCCCTTCTGACATGCAGGCTCATGTCCTTTCATCTTTATTTAGATGACAGAAAGTCAGTAAAAATTATGAGCTAATGTGTTGAGCTTACTTTACAGTTCATGTCTACAAAAGAATGCATTGGCATGGGTTAATAATTTACAATAAACTTATTAATACCCTTGTATTAAAACCATCTACTTACGTGTTGATGTAAATTCAGTGTTCTGGGTTAATTTTCGTTAGTGACAGAATCCTCATGTGGAGACAGAGGTTATTTTACATAACTAGTAATAAAAATAGAAGTGCCACTTCACAAGAGATTAGAGTCTAATTTAAAAATATACGGTCTCTGGGTTTACTCTGTCGAGTTCTTTTTTGGCTACATACCGGAAGCATCTTCTCCATTTCCTCTGCAGCAGACATATTCCAGCAGGCTCCCTCAGGCCTTCGTTTAACCTACTTATGGTCAGTGGGATTTTGAATGCTGTTCTACGCCATTTTGTAGCTACTGATCCTACCGTTTCCCAAAGCTTGCATCAAGCACGTGACAGCACTGAAAATACATCGTGAGATCTTTTCTTTTCCTTTGGTAAACTTCCATCGCCAACACATTTGTTTTTGTGGTACCAGAGTGTTGGGGAATATTGTTTTAAGGTGTGTGACTTTTGTTTACGCTGCATTTGTTTAACTCTGTGAAGCTGTGATTCTTTGCCTGCCTAAAACACCCGATGGCCTAATAAAGAGCTGAATGACCGATAGTGACGCAGGAGCAGGGACAGGTGGTGCTGGCAGGCAGAGAGGTTAAATAGGAGGAGAAATGAGACAGAGGAGGAGCAAGAGACAAAGGAAAGGAGGATGTCAGGGGCCAGCCACCCAGCCAGCCATGGAGTTCGAGTGAGGAACTCTCCCTGTAGACCAGGCTGGCCTCGAACTCACAGAGATCCGCCTGCCTCTGCATCTCGAGTGCTGAGACTAAAGGCATGTGCCACCATGAGATGGTGCACGGTGAGATGTAAATTCTTTAGTCTCACCCCAGACTCAGGAAGCCTGGGACGGGACCAACTCTGAGCTCAGACTCTTCAGATGGCTCTGATGTGTATTCATACGAAGAGCTGTTGGCTTCTGTCATCTGTGGTCGTCTTGGAACCCAGGAAAGCCTGGAGACAGGGTGGTGAGCACCTCATGTGCCCTGTCTAGCCTGACCTCTGCATCTCGACAGCGACTTGTAAGGTGTTATCTCCAGTTGACTCCAGGGTATTAGCCCAGAAGTAAGCACACCATGTTTTCTATCTGAATTCTTCCTGAAGGTGTCAAAGTGATGGAGGCCATACAAGTATTCTGAGGCACCATGGGAGTGTCTATTTTTGTATGGCACAAGAAATCCTGGCTCATGTCTTTGGTGGTGGTGGTTTTACAGTTGAAAAGGAGGTGGCATAGTGGGGGTGTGGCTTAGTGACAGAGCAGGTGTGAGGTCCTTGGTTTAATCTCCGGTGTTGTACATGTTTCACTCTTTTGGCTTTTGGGGGGACACCACCCAGTTCCCAAATAAAGCATACAAATAGGCTTATTATTACTTATGAATGCCTCGCCTTAGGTTGACTTGTTTCTAGCTAGCTTTTCTTAATTTATCCCATCTGCCTTTTGCCTCTGGGCTTTTACCTTTCTCTTCTGTAAATCTTTCACTCGAAAAAGTTATCTTGATAGAGGGAGCCATTATGAGGTTAGGGAAAAACTTGATGTTAGAGAAATTCTCAGGAATTCACAAGGATGACCTAAGCTAAGTCTCCTAGCAAAAGTAGAGTGGGTGTCTGAAAGGGCTTTCCCACTATTCAGATTAGTGGCTACCCTAATTGTCATCATAGAACCTACATCCAGTAACTGATGGAAGCAGATGCAGTGACCCACAGCCAAGCCCTGGGCTGAGCTTCTGGAGTTCAGCTGAAGAGAGGGAGGAGGAATCATATGAACAAGGGGGGGGGGTCACGATCATGATAGGGAAAACCACAGAGACAGCTGACCCCAACTAGTGGGAGCTCACAGACTATGAACTGATGGATATGAACTGATGGATAGGGACAGACTATGAACTGCATGGGACTGAGCTAGGCCCTCTGACTGTATGTGACATTTATGTAGTTTGATCTGTTGTGATGGGCAGGCAGTGGCACCAGGTCCTATCCAAGGTGCATAAACTGGCTTTTTGGAGCCTAAACCCTATCATGGCATACCTTACTCAGCCTTGATACAGGAGGGAGGGGTTTGATCTTTCGTCAAGTTGTTATACCAGACATTATTCCTATTATCCCTAAGGAAGTCTCCCTCTGGGGAATAAATGGAGAAAAGAAAGAGAGGACTTGAGGGGATAGGAGAAGAAGAGGGAGGGGAAACTGTGGTTGTTAAAGTGAAAAGTAAAATTTTTAAATAAATTCAAGACTAATAAATCCCTTGTTTCTCTTGATAGTTTATATTATATAATTAATCAGAATGTGTCCATTTTTCCTTCTGAATATACTAAGAATTCATTATGAATAATATTTCCTTTTTAGTGAAGAATATACTGAATTGTTATGACTCATGTGCCAATAAGCCCGCTATGCACAGGAAATTTCTCACATCAGAATTGAACATTTGAGGAGAGGTGAACACTAGAACTTTGCCTTTGATCTTAAGCTTGTGGGGATGCTAGTATCACTGTTTTATTTTCTTGCATTTCTCAGGTCAGTTGACAAGTCAGAACCTTTCGTGTTTGTCCAATTCTCTCTTTATGAAGCGAAATTTAAAGGCATCCTTGAGCTTTTCCTGTTAATTGGAATGGGATTCTGGGAACACAGAATCACAAAACAATACAATTGATTTGTTGGGAAATTTTCTAGTGAAATCAAAGATATTAAAACGTGTCTTTTCATGTTCAGGGCTTTGCACTGAGGATATAAAGCAAGATTCTTCTTTGTTGTCTTTTGCCGCATAATATAAAGTTCATATTTTTCTTCTAGGCTGTCGGTACTTCAAATAATGCCAAGGATTTTAGTTTTCTTTTCATAAATATTAATAATACATTGTATATTGAACTATTTGACTTGAAAAATATGATTGAGAATTTAGAATTTATGCATGTGTCTCTGTATAGGTATGAGTGTACTACTGAGCATGTATGACAGTCAGAGAAAGACTTTGCAGGAAGTAACTTGTGGAAATTCTACCACCTAGGTCCCAATGAATCGAACTCAGGCTATTAGGATGGCAGGGATCTGTTTCACCTGCTGAGTCATCTTGCTGTCTCAACTAACATACTTTTCAAACAGTAGTGCTTAGCTTTAATTCCTTGTGGTTCAGGTTTTCATTTCTACATAGCTATTAGTAAACAAGCTAATTGATCAATGCTGGTTAGGGTAATTGGTAAGATTTTATATTTATTGTTCAAAGGTTAATTCTGGTTGCAAATAGTGAACAAATATCTCAGAGAGTTATTTGAATATGAACCCTGATTGTCTTGAGCATGGAAGGATTTAAATATTGAATATTGCTGATAAAAAATAGCTTTACGATTTATACAAAGAGCTGATAAAATGAAGTATCGTATCATAAGGCTTGAAAAATCGGGTTTCGGTTATAATTACTGTGTAGACTCAAAATGCTTCTACTGAAATGCTCACCTTTGCTATCATGCTGCAGGCCATAGCACGAGAGAAAGCCGAGAAGTTCAGAAAGCTGCAAGATGCCAGCAGATCAGCTCAGGCCCTGGTGGAACAGATGGTGACTGGTAATTACATGAACTTGATTTAAATAATCTTCTTAGGGATTTGATAAACACATAGGTTCGTATTTATCAGCTGAATTGTATCAGACAAGCCCTTCTTGGATACAAATTTACATTAAAGGAAGTTCGTATTTTTGTTATTATTTTTCTTTTATGCTAAGCAAATTATTGGGGGAAATTCAATTTGAGTCAATTGGTCGAAAATGAGTTATAGTAGAATATTTAATAAGTCTATTAGGGAGAGTTTAATTTTCAGCAAACACTGATAATATCTATTAAAAATAAGTTTAAGAAGACAGAGCTTTACTGAAATAATTATTTGTGGAAGCCACTGAAAAAATATCAAGTAAATTATAATTTAAAAAAAATAATTTTATAAATTACCTCAAATTTGTTGAAAGGATTAAGTATAACACTACTAATATTCTCATGTTTTCTATAGTACTTTGTCTTATAAGAATGTTTGTCTTTGGAATTAAAGCTTACTTTCACCTTTCTCTTAAGTGAGGCAAAAGCACAAAGGTTGCATCATATTTTTATCCTATTTTTAGAAATTGCAATTACTCTTTGCCAAGAGTACCTGAAAATCTATCTCTACAGAGTATTGTGAAGTCATGTGAGGCAACTTTTCTTCCAAATTTTGTTTTCTAGACTTGTATTTATGTATAAATTAAAGTAACTATACAAATCAAAAACCAATGCAATTTCTGGACCAGATTATTTTTACTTTTGCAAGGGTGTATTATAAACAACAACAAAAAACAAGTTTTTGTATATGTCAGCATTTTGAGAAACTGCCTAAATTTTGTGTCATAACTTCTGTATATGAATTATTTTTAGTCTTAAGTGCCTTGTCGGCATTAATAAATTCAATTATCTTCATAGGAAATCAAGTCATTTTATTCTTTTAATGAGTCTCATAACTGTGTTAGCTGAAAAATAAAAACAGGAAGACATGCCAGTTGAGAATTGAGAAAATCAATTATTATATGTTTCTACATGTTGCTTGGTAATTTAAATGATGGTTTTAATAGTATATTCAGTCAAATAAAATTACATGATCCAAAATAGTCTTATAATCATTCTATAATTTCCTAGGAACTACATTATTACCTTTCTATTTAAATATAGTGATGTAAAATCTATAATTTAAAATTTAAATTCTTTAATTTTTATAATAAATTGTCAAACAGACCACAAATCATTTTATATACACATGTACTAAATTATTTAAAAGTCATTTAATATTCAGAAATGCATGGAAATATATTTCATTTTTATTAAGTGAAGCTAGAGAGAGATGAAAAGGTAATGAAAAATACTAAAATCAATTATCTAAATACTTGTTAACATTGGAATTTCTAGAGGCATATGGAAAAATTGGGTCATATAGATGGTCCTTAATAAATACAAATTAAGTGATTGAATTCCATTTAACAGCACATTTGACAGTACTTGAGAAATAATATTGATTATTTTGCTTAGAAAATATTGCCTCTGAATGAAATTAATACCTTGGATAGACAGCAAAGATCAATGGACTTTTGGGAGTATGGTTTGAAATATTCTTCTTTGCTTTCATCAAATTTCAAGCTATACTTTTGCCTGCTAGTGAAGATAGGGATAGGGTTAACTTTACTAAGATTAAGCTCTAGCTAGGACCATAATGGCAATAAGCACTTATAGTGCTCATAGTTCTGGCAACCTATTAAGCAAAACTATTTCCATAATTACTATGCAATTGATGAAAATGTTTGGATGTATTTATTCTCTCTTGTCTTAAAAAATCATATAATAATTATTTTCTCAGTTTATGCAAATTATAAAATAAGTCAGAAATACAATAACAACCTGCATTCTTGTCCAACTGTAATTTAGAAAGAGTCATCTGTAAAACTTTTAGATGCTCATTACCAAAGAGCCATGAGGTATGGTTCATAAAACTGAAAATTAAATTAATCTTTGTGTAATCCAAGATTTTCAACAATTCTTTCAGTGACACTCTTAATTAAGTCAAGACACATCTTCCTCATATACTTGCCTTATTGACCACTATAATAGATAACATAAGTCTCGTACCATATTATTTCTAAGAAGGGAAACGAGAGCTGAACCATTATAATTCATTTAGGACCTCATGGAAATGGGTGTTAATTTTACTTGTAAATATTGCTCTCAAGGTAAAGTCAAATCACTCCTAGAGATTTCTTTATGATTATACGAGCTCTATTGACCGGAATATAAGTGATATTCCATGATCAAAAATTAAAATAAGAGATAGCCAATAAAGATGATGTTCTCTATAAAATCATGTTTCTGGAAATTTTCTTAGAATTTTGAAGTATTTTAAAGAAATTTATGTCCATTTTTAAAATATAAATTCTTATGTAAGCACTATAAGTTTATTTATGAAACAAAATGTTTACCCTAAAGGCTCTTTTACTAGAATTATGCTTTTAAATATTTTCTGCATATTTTATTCTTCTCTCATGCAATATATTCTGACCACATATTCCTATGCCATCACTTCCCCAGAACTCCCTATCTCCTGAGCTCTAGGTATACCTCCTGTCCCCTCTCAAAGAAAAAAAAGCAGGCCTCTAAGGAAAATCAACCAAACACAGCACATAATACAATAAGATCCATAATAATCCCTTATATCAAGGCTGGGTGAGGTAACCCCACAGGAAAAAAAGGATCAAGCAAAAGAATTAGAGACATCCCCACTGTCAAGACTTCCCCCAAACACAAATCCAGCAACTTTAAAATATTGTTTGAAGTAATATAAAAATTACCTTACTTTGTCAACACCAATTGATTAAATAAGGATTATCTTGACATGGTACTGGATAAAGGTATCTCTTCTTATTAGGAACTTTTGCTCAGAAACAAAGTTTTGTGAAGTATATCTTCAACATATTGATTTAGAACTATATGATTATTCTCAAAAGTGGTAGCTTGCTATAACCTTAGTGGCAATAATTTTACACTCAACCTAGGTGCCAAGTCTTTGTTTCCTTAGCTCTACTGAAGTAGATAGTATCTAAATTCTTTCATTGTTTTTCATAAAAACTATTTAGCATAAACTTCTTTAAGTAAGACTTCATTTTGTTATTTGTCAAAATAGAAATTGGGAGGAAATCATTTAATTTTGAAATAATTAAGCCTTTAACCTGATAACTTATTTTGCTTAATCAACATTGGATTCTTATAGTTTTACTTTGCAAAGTTCTTTAACTTTTTAAGACAATTACTTCTGTTTATTAATGAAATTACAGAAATTTGAGAAAAGATTGAACCATAATTTTATGTCTCATACACATTTTTATTCCAGAACATTGTACAGTTTGCTTTAATCTATTTAGTGCTAGAAATAATTCTTGATTGTTTTTAAATATTATTCTCATATGTATATAAATACATACACATAAAATATAAAGACACAGACTGGTCCAGATATATTATTTTACCTTAAGAACATTTTAAACATCAAAAATCAAAGATAGTTGTGTTAAAACATTCATGAAAATACACATAGAAGTATTATCCATGTCCCAATTATTAAATTATGGGATGCTTCTTCCTAAATTTCCAGAGGAACTTAGTATAATTGTATAATAGCATTATCAATATTCACTACATTAAATGGCACTTCACTTTCAGTTTCGAGATGTAGTTTTCTTGTATTAATTTACAGTCTGGAGACAATCACATTCAATAAACATATAGCTAAAAGTAGTAATTAGTATATTATACTAAGAGAACATTTGAAAAATTTCATGCCTTGAGTATCAGATATGAGAGTATAGTATTTAAGGTGATACCTAATATTCACAGAATAGCATTAAACTAAAAAATTAATAAGGCTTAAACAATGTGTTATCCAAGTCACTAAAACATTTTTACATTTAGTTTTATAGCTTAAATATTTTTATATTCATAAATTTATTTACATGTATACAGCACGTTTTCATGTGATGATCAAGTTGGCAGGGATTATAGTTTGTATGACTTATCTTGTTGATAAATTATCAATTCACTTGTGATTGCTAGGCTGCCTCACTTCTGAAATAAGAGCTTCCTACAAAAGCACACATTTCCTCTTATTCCTACTTCAATTCTGGGCAATTTCATTTGTGTTTCCCTTCTTTCTACATGACATTAAAGCTGATGCTCTGCATGGAGTTCACATTCTGTAAATTGACGGCTGCATTTTTGTGGATTTCCTTTCCACTTTAAGAGGGAGAGCCCCTGTGCTTGTGTGTATATTTCTCTATTTGAAAGGAGACCATAAGAGCTACTGTTCTTGAGGGCAATTGTTGACAGAAACAAATATGCATAGAAATACATTTTCTCCACATTTATGGCATTAGAAACAGAAAAAAAGAAATGGCATATGTTAGAACATTTTGTATATTTTGCTCACTAGAACTAGTAAGCAGTATACATTTTAAAAAGGTTTTATTTTTTTCCCAAAAAGCAGCACAATAGAGCTTAAAAGAATGGTCACAGAACCCATCAGAACTTTGCGTCTGTATATATCATAAATACCAAAAACATCTTTATGGCATGTTATGCTACTCTATTGGATGGTAAATGTGCTGGGAATGATCCTCAGTTTAAGCTTAACAAAATGGGAAGTTCTTAGGAAGTGCAAGATTCATTCAGCTATTTTCTACTTAAAAAAAAAAAACTGAAAACACCTTTTTTTCCCCCCACTATTTTATCCAGGCTTCATACTTGATGATGAATGTACTTGATAAAGAATACTTCACTTTAGGTGTCAATTTTGAAGTACTTGCATGGAAGGCAATGCATAATCACAATTATTCTAGCAGTCTGTTATGCACTGTACACAAGTAATAAAATTAATGGATGCACTTCAAGTAATGATCCATTTCCTCTGGGTACAATATATTTATTCATAAACTATTTCAGTTGTTTAGAATATGAGCTGTGAATGGATTATGATCCATTATCTCTGAGAATCTAATGTGCTTCTCCAAAATGGTTTCCCTAAGTATATTTAATAATGCCGGGTGAGTCAGTGTTTGTAGTCTTAAATAGCTAACAAAAAATTAGAAAAACAGATGCTCAGATGATTGATCCTTAAACTCTGCAAAATTTTACAATTATAGGTTGTCATAAAACTTCAATTTTTCAGTTGAGCAAAGGAAATCAATCCTATCAAGTACATACTCATAAAACAATATAGTAACAATTATCATACTATTTCTCAGACATATAGTAAGGCATCTTCTAGTATCACTCAAAAATGGAAAATGCACTAATACATTATATTCTATCATATGTCCAAGCATTTTCAAGCAAACAAGATGTTATTTAATTGTTTGTATATTTTTTAATCCCCTATATTTTGCTCTTTGAGTGTCTGTCTTCATAAGATGCAAACTATTGAGTTGATGTTGTATGTGTTCACACAGTCTTTCTACTATACACTGAGAATTATATCATAAAGTGCTAGTGACAGCATGTTTATAGGACATGTTAATTTAGAAGAATGAGTTATAAAGAAGTGAACAGCAAGAATAATCACTTATAAAATGTATATAGACGAATTATCTAGAAGGCTGTGCTTCTCTGTGCTCAACACCTGTCTCTACCAGAAATTTCTGCTTTAAATTTTGAGTGTGATTGTTCTTAAGTCCAATTTTAAATTATTATAAATAGGTGACTGTGTGTTTTACAAAAGTCTAAACCAAAATTAACCTATTTGTCATTGATGAACTTTAAAACAAATTAAAATGTTTGTAGATATCGTATTTCATGTAAAATTAATTTTTAAAATTCTAGTAATCAAGTTTTTAAAAATAAACTATTTAATACATTAAAAGAACTCTGTCTCATCTATTTTCTAAATATGAGATGATGTTTCCTTATTACCTATATGTTCTTTACCATATCTTCTAATTAGCACAATTTATTTTATTTGTTGTTAATGATTTGTAAGATGTGGAGAAATTAACATGTGAGCTCAGCGCTCAGTAGATTTATCTTACTATTATACTCCTAGAATGGAAAAGAAATATGACAACCCACTGATACCTGATGAGAGGACTTAACTGAACACAATTTACGTATGCTTGAGGAACAGCTAGTTTAAATTTAAATAAATCTAATTATATATGTGCATATATAGACCTTTTTCTATATTATCACTTGTTATATATTGGTAGTTACAATATTTAATTAGATATAATCAGCTATAAAGCTCATTATATAACTAAATATTATAGATTTCACAGTGTTATAGATTTGTAAAAATTTTACTTTTTATTTGCATCTCAATTCCTGTTGGAGAAGTGCTTAACATCTTAGCCCACTTGCTTCACATTATAGAACTGAGTTCCATGACCAACATAACTCATAAAACATATTCATTGTATTTTTATAGATACCAAAGTATTTTGTTATTTCTTGCTGGTTTGCATTATCATTAAGTAAAATCAATATGTTCTCCAGTTTCTATGAGGTTTTATAAAGTTGATCTTTGTCAGAAGCAGAGACAAGCTTCAATCTCTCTATTTTACCTACTCATCTATCATTAGATATTTCATTAGATACATTTTCTCAAAGGGAGGAGGAATTATGCAATTGAAATTTTAGATGATCTGATACTTTGTAACAAATAAGCTTGTTATTACTAGTTATGTAGTGGCTACTCCCAAAACTATGTTGTTATAATTCTCAATCATATACTAATAATTGTAAATAGCATATCATATTACACCTTCGTGTCTTAATATGATCGATAGTCCCCTTAACTATTCAGGGGAATAGAATAAAATTTAGCCACAGGCAGCCATGACTTTCTTGTGAAACTAGGTACAGGGAACCATGTACCTATTACTTTTTGTATCTCCTTCTTATTATTTCTGTTTAGAAATATGCTCGCAAAAAAGAAAAAAAATTTTGTCAGTGGTGTTGAGAAATGAATTTTTATGTTATCTTGGGTGATGTAAGACTTTGAAATTTCTAAGTTTGGGTTCATGTTTCAAATGAATAATCTTGCTTGGCAGAGTAGTATGATTTTAACAAATAAAATGTGTCTGTGTCTTTTTCAGTAATTCAGTGAATTTGTTTGGAATAGAAACATGTTGCTTTTCAGATCACCTCATTTAGACTGTGGCTTCATGGGATATATATTTTGTTTTTCTTTCTAGAGGGTGCTGATGCTGAAAGTATCAAACAAGCCTCAGAACAATTGAATAACCGGTGGACAGAATTCTGCCAATTGCTGACTGAGAGAGTTAACTGGCTAGAGTATCAGAACAACATCATTACTTTTTATAATCAGCTACAGCATTTGGAGCAGATAACAACTACTGCTGAAAACTGGTTGAAAACCCAACCCACCATTCCATCAGAGCCAATCGCAATTAAAAGCCAGTTGAAAATTTGTAAGGTAAAACTTTCCTCTTTTCTTTGGAGCATGATCAGTAGGCATTTCTTGGCAAATTGCAAGAGGGCCATAGCAAAATGTTTAGTAATGAGATTTTCAACTCCCGGGGGTTTATCCAAGAATCAAAAATACCAAAATATAAACAAAGAAAATCAGTCCTAATAAGTACTGTATTGATATTGTACTTCTGGCATTGATGTATGTAATTTATACATGGCGAATTATTTTTTGTCAGTTTGCAGAGGGCTGAGGCAGGAAGTATAGAAAGCACATATCCTTAAAAAAATTTAAAAATTGGCCAGCACACTGGAACTCTTTCAGACGTAAAACTGGGCACGTGACGAAAAAAATTGTAAGCAATACAAATAGCTAGAAGCAGCTCAGCAATAAAGCCTTACGGTGTAAAACAGGGTAAAAAAAAGACATCTATAATATTAAGGGCACATATAAGAATAGACATTTTGCAGAGTATTTCTTCACAAAGAGGTATTTTACTAATGTTCTTGCTTTATAGATAAAACCAAAAGAAAGACCAGATCAAGCCAAACTTGTCCCTCTTCGAAGACAGAAAGAATCAGTGTAGAAATTGTGACTACACAGGAGAGAGTCAGAACCCTCTAATAAAGGCTGCCTTAAGAGTGAGCCCAAGGCGCATAGAAATAGAGTGAGAAAAATAAACAAGCAATTTTATCATCCTCTCTGCCTGAAGAATCTGGACAGGGCTCCCCACTGACTAGACTTAATTAGGAGGCAACGAATAAGGAGGTGTGATCTGCAAATTCGCCAGGGTCATGAGAAGAAAATGAGTACACAAGGTGGAACTGGCACTAAGGGTCCAAGTACGAGATTAAAAGAGCTTGTCTTCATTTGGTAGAAATTAAAAATTAGTAATAATGAAAAGAACCTGACCTTTTCAAATCCTTACTATAAGCTTCACACTATTCCTGGGAAATGAGAAGTCGATTAGAGGCTAAGTTAAAAGATAGCATGGACAAACCTTTACTAATAGACTAAGATGTATATTTAGTATGAAGAGAGATTAATTTGCATACTTTTCACAGGAATGGTATAAATGAAGGCTGACTGGATGTGGACAGCTGACAGTTTGAGTCTAGAAAGAAACACTGAACTCCACTGATATTAGGGAAATATAATGACGTTCAGAAACCAAAATAAAAAGCACTTGATATTTTTTTGCTTCAGTTTCTGTAAATTTACTAGAAAGTACACAAAATCAAAATATAGTTTTGCATAACAAATTCAAATAAGAAAGACCTTTGCATTACCGGGCAAACACACATCCTGTAGTATTTATATGTTTAGATATAATTTGCAATTAGATACTACAGTCCTCAGCTTCTTTTCCACTTCTCTGAAGAATAGTTCATATGCAGTATGTTTTACAACAAAAGTATGGTGAAGACAATCATGGTAGTATGGTCACTAGGAATGGAAAAGCCTGGGCCACTTTTTGTTATTAGAAGAAAGCATGGACATCATAGTGAGAACCTGTCTTAAACAGCCAATGTAGAATGATGATGTCATATGAAGAGTATTCTCCAAATTCAAATGTAGAAATAGACACCTAGGAAATATACTTATATTGCCAGGCAGTGGTAGCACATGCCTTTAATCCCAGCACTTGGGAGGCAGAGGCAGGTGGATATCTGCGAGTTTGAGGGCATTCTGTTTTACAAGAGCTAGCACCAGGACAGACTCCAAAGCCACAGAGAAACCCTGTCTTGAGACACAAAAACAAACAAACAAACAAACAAAAAAAGAAATATACTTATATATACAATTAGATATTGATTAACTATAATGTGACCAAGAGTGATAGTGTGTACATGTGCTAGCTTGTTGATAGAACAAGTAGCACAGACTAGGCCAATTAACCAATGTAAATGTTTGCTCACTGTTCTGGAGGATTGAAATTAACATCTGTAAGGACTCTCTTAGTGTTTGTAGGTGGCTGTCTCCTTACTGGTAATACCTATGTTCTTTACCAGTTCATGTACATGGACAGAATGGAAGAGTGAGAGAGATATTTCCTTCATTTTGTAACGCAACCAGCCCTATGAGATCAGGACTCTACCTTGATAACTTAATTATTCTTTAGTGCCTCCTCAAATCTGCTTTTCCAAATAAACTTGCATTGAATGTTAAGGTTTCAGCATATATATTTTGAAGTACCACAATTAAGTCCACAGCACTAAGTTCTAAGAAACAGAGTGGAAGTTCATTGAACTTCCTTGTTTTATCATATTTTTCCACCTGTGTCGAGGACATAGTTGCTAGGAGAATGATTAAATAAAATAATGTAAAATTACCAAGGGAATAAATGATTTACACAATGTTGGAAAACATCTAACAATAAAGCATGACATAGACAGAAACCAGCAGGCAGTTCTTTAATGGAAAAGCATTTGCACTGGGCATTTGGAATGACTTGATGTTAAATCAAAGAATAATATACTCAGAAACATGGATAAATAAAGACCAGCCATGTAAAAGAAGGTCTATTATATGAGTACTAATCATAGCGTGGTAGGTGAGTGGAATGTGAGTCAGATGTGTAAAGGCAAATCAATGCCCTAAGAGTCATACAGTAATTGTAGTCTTAATCTCAGTCACAGATAGATATCACAGACAGATTTCTAAACTATTCTATTATTATGGAATTATTCAAAGGGAAAATATCTCTTTTCTGCACTCACTAATAAAGATCCCAGTACTGTTTGCACTGTCTCATCCCATTCTCTCAACTCTTTGTCTTTCTGCTTGACCTTTTGGTTCCTAATGAATTTATTAATTGGTTTATGTAAAATATTTAGTGGTATAAGAATAATATCATTCCCAGATTAGCTAAGATTATATTAGTGGCCTGGTATTAGTGTTTGACAATTTTTTATCTAATGTATTTTTTATTTCCTTTGGAGATTTTTAAATATTAAAATACAAATTTAGCTCATGCTCCAATATATTGGAGGTGAAAGAGCCTTTTAAGATTTGGAAGAAATATGTTTACATTTCTTGAAGTGGGGAAGATTCTACTTGATGCCACATTATTTAAATGTGCATATTAATATTTTTATCCTTCCTTCGTATATTCCATGCCAACCATAGTTCTCCCATTCTCCTCTACCCCTTGTAAATGTATATAATTTTAGTGGGGAAACACATTCAGAAAATATGATTTACTCTGGGGACTAAGAACGCTAAGTTCCCCGATGCAAACAATAGCTACTGGTTAACAAGTTTTTGAAGCTGAATAGTTCATTTCAAAAGAGATGGCATATCTTCAGTCTTCAATTTCTAAAGCAACTCAGTTGTCGGTAACAATGAGTCCTACTGTTAGTGACATAGCCACATTCTTTTCAAACTTAACTTTATATCTTCAGAACGTAGAAGAAAAAAAGCATTGTCTATTTATATTCTTGTTCTTATGAAATATTAACTCAATCAATACTCATAATATAGGATTCTCCAAATAAGCATACATGCATCCTAAGTCAAGAATTTATTTTGTCATTTTAGTATGATTTCCAGTAAGCTCAGATTTAAATTTAGTTCCTAATTGCTATAATTTTTAAAAAAATTCCTCTACATTTAATTGGCTCATGATCCCATTTTTAATTTTAATGATCATGTTTTTGCATATTAAGTACTAAACAAACCCAAGTACTTTTTTGAAAGGTAGCTTAGATATGAATTATAAGTAAGCAACCATGGCGATAATGCACCGGAAAAGAGAATTTCAGAGTTATTTCTTATGGTACAAGTTATATATATCTATGAAACATAAACTAATTGCCACTTCACTTGAAATGAGACCAAGGAATTTACATAGAAAGCAATATGGCTGAAAAAATACAATTTAAATTCGAAATTCAAGTGTCATATATAACTTTGAGTATCCATTACTTAATCATGGAAAAATAGAGTCAATTTTGCCCACCTAGGGACTTTTAGCATTAAACATGTGAATTAAAAAAAGTATTATTCACTGAATGATCTTACAATTTAAAACAATGACAGTTTTGGAATGAAAAGCATTAAAGATAAACATCTTTATTTGGTTTAATTTAGTGAGATTTAAATTTGTGTTCATTTATAAAACATTGCAAACATGCACATTTGTGTGATTTATGGTTCTAAATAATGATAGTCTGATATTAAGGTATATCATACATGATGATTCAAAATGAACAAACAGCTATGTTGTTCTTAAATCGATTACATGTAAGAAAGTATGGAAATTTCTTAACAGATATTTGTCGAGAACATTAACTTGTTTTCATATCGCTGACTATAAACAACTTTTTTTGTGACGCTATAGTAAATGCAAAGTTACATATTAGTAATAATCTGAATTACGATTCAGGATGAAGTCAACAGGCTGTCAATTCTTCAACCTCAAATTGAGCAGTTAAGAATTAAGAACCTATCACTGAAAGAAAAGGGACAAGGGCCAATATTCCTGGACGCAGACTTTGTGGCCTTTACAAATCATTTTAACCACATCTTTGCTGATGTGCAGGCCAGAGAGAAAGAGCTACAGACAGGTAAGTAAAAATACTTCTTAAAGATAACTTAAGATTTTTGAAATTGGCTATCCGTGGGTAAAATATGAAGTACTAAAGAAAACCAAACAAAAATGGGAATAACGACTATCAGTGAAATAAACCACCTTCCCTTAACAAATGACAAAATACCGATGTTAGACAACAAGAAAATGTATCTCTTCTTCCTGTAATATTCCAATGTTTTGGGGTAAGAAGAAGTAAGTAAATAATGGTTTGTACAGCTATAACTTCTCCTTGGATGGTTACAGATTCCTGAATCAGGAGTTTTGAATACTTTTGAAAATAAAGAAGCACTTCAGTAGAATTTCGCAAGATTTCTCATTGTGTAGGTGGAAATATTTGTGCAGGCATCTTCAGATGCTCTTTCAGGTCATCTGAGAACTATCTACTTTTGGGAAATGAATCGCAACTAAGGACAAATTATTCTTTGAGCTATATTTTATTTTTGGGACACAGTAATTACATAAACCACCCTTTGTTGATAAAAGAGAAGAGAGAAGTAGAACAGATATACAAACTTGTATCAAGTAGATAACAATTTTTCAAGATATCTCTTTACAATTTTTTTCTGCTAGTGTAGTATTTCTTTGAAGTGTCTATTCATTAATTTTAAGACAAAATTTTCTTAGAGAGACAAGTTTATAAGACTTAAACAATACTAAATAAGTTTTTCATCTATCACACACATTCATTTATATGTTTCTGTGCATAAAGAGAAGATTATAGTGGATACTTAGGATTTAAGGACGTTGCTTACTTTTAGTGAAATTTTAATTGTGTGGAAGTATATTTAACATATTTCTTATTGTTCATCATTTTAAATGTTACAAAAAACATTTAAAGTACTTCCAGAATATCTAGATATGACTAAAGCTTTACAATATCGTTTCTGACTAAATTGAATTAAGTTTACAGTGTGTATTTCCTTTTCCTCTACTTTTTTTAAATATTTTTTTATTGAGAATAAGAAAAAAAAAGTTTCCGCCTCCTCCCAGCCTCCCATTTCCCTCCCCCTCCCCCCACTCTTCTCCCCCTCCCTCTCTTATCCAAAGAGCAGTCATGGTTCCCTGCCCTGTGGAAAGTCCAAGGTCCTCCCCCCTCCGTCCATGTCTAGGAAGGTGAACATTCATACTGGTTAGGCTCCCACCAAGCCGGATCATGAAGTAGGATCAAAACCCCTTGCCATTGACCTTGGCTTCTCATCAGTCCTTATTGTTCACCATGATCAGAGAGTCCAGTTTTATCCCATGCTTTTTCAGTCACATTCCAGCTGGCCTTGGTGAGCTCTCAATAGATCAGCCCCCACTGTCTCAGTGGGTGGGTGCACCCCCGTGGTCCTGACATCCTTGCTCGTGTTCTCCCTCCATCTGCTCCTCATTGGGACCTTGGGAGCTCAGTCCAGTGCTCCAGTGTGGGTCTCTGTCTCTATCTCCATCCATCACCAGATGAAGGTTCTATGGTGATATGAAAGATATTCGTCAGTATTGCTATGGGATAGGGTCTACTTTTTAAAATAGTTTTTGCTTAGGGGTTTGTTTTTCTAATGGGAAAAATCAGTCGGTATAACTTTAAAATGATATTAGCGCCCTCTAGTGGATTGCTGAGCGTCAAACCTCTAAATGGAAAAAGCTATTTTTAATTTTTCATACATCTTAGCATATTGTATTTAATTTTTTGATGAAATACACAAACATTATTTAAAATAAAATAATTTTAATTGATATTCTATAGTTTAACTTCCTCACTGGAACATTATTTTAAATCTTGTATGCCTGTTTGTTACAATCTTCAGTTTAAAGAAGTATGGAATAGTCATATTGATAGCTGGGGTTTTCCTATGTTACTACAATGTAAACATTTAATATTCATTATGTTTACATACTTACAAATTTATACATATAATCATTTTACACACAAAAATTATTTATAAAACTTTTCAAACTTGTCTTCCGGCACCTGGGTCCCTGTTGGAAGAAAGAGGGCCGGTTTATTTGTCCCTGCCACCCGGCTAGCTTAACCCCGAAATAATAACACAAAAACTATATTAATTAAACCACTGCTTGGCCCATTAGCTCTAGCTTCTTATTGGCTAACTCTTACATCTTAATTTAACTCATTTCTATTAATCTGTATATCAGCACGAGGTTGTGGCCTACCAGCAAAGTTCCTGCATGTCTGACTCTCGTGGTGCCTCCACAGTGGTCCATGACTCCACCTTTCCTTCTCCCAGCATTCAGTCCATCCTCCCTGCCTACATAAGTTCTGTCCTATCACCAGGCCAAGGCAGTTTTTTTTTTTTAATTCATCAATGGTAATCATAGCACACAGAAGGGACTCCCAAATCAGGTCCCAACTTAGTGTGGCTACTTGGGGTTCATGGTAAAGAGTGGGTGGTCAGGTGTCCAAAGGAATGTAGATGGATATTAATAAATGGCTAAACGAGGCAGAGGGAAAGTGTGTTTTCCATCCTACTATTTTTATCAGAGTGCTTCTCATATATGTACCTATTGTTTCGGAAAATGTGCATGTCTTAACATTCACTGAATCAAGATGACTGTGTCCTCATAAAATGATTTTTGGCAATGTTCTCTCTGTTTCTATTTTGTGGATTAATTTGAGGAGTAAAGATATGATATTATCTATTCTATAAGAGCTAATTCCAGGACAGCCAGGGCTATTACACAGAGAAACCCTGTCTCAGAAAACGAGAGAGAGAGAGAGAGAGAGAGAGAGAGAGAGAGAGAGAATTTCCATTTCTGAAAAATAAGACTATTGATGATATTTAAAATACTAAATGAAATATGGGTTCAGAGAGACAGGAAGGAAGATAGAAATAGTAGCCATTCCAAATGAGATTTTATTGGACTAGACTCATTAAAGTGATAAAAATGAACATTAGATAGAGTCTTTCAAGAAGTAATGTTATAGATACAGGATCAAAAACATTGCAGTGAATGACAATTCAGTTTTCCAGAGATTGCAGAATAAGTTGTTATGATAGCTACTAAAAATGCTCTCTATGGCCACATATTCAAGGTTGTGCATTTGGTCGGAACAGTCCACATCATGACACTAAATAAGAACAAAGTATAATAAATTCTTTCAGCTCCAAATTAGAAGATTTCTCTAGTTTGCTTTTGAAAACTTTATTTTGTACTCTAATATATCTTGATAAAAGATTTATTTCTATTTGTTGCTTTTCTTCCAATCTACTTATCTACTTGCCCACTATGAACTAAAAATATATAGAGGTTAAGATGTTAACTTAGCTTTAGGTAATGCATACCACTTTAAAATGTAGTTAAATAGTACTAATACATCATTCTCACTTTAACTGATTGCTTTAGGTTGTTCCATAATGTAGCAAATACAAAAATTTGTAATTCTCATATATGAAATGGACTGACATTTGCTTCTATCTAACTGACTACAACAATTGTAAATATTTATAATGTACTGGTTAATATCTCAGCCCTGTATATAATATCTAATTAGATTAGTGTAGTCTGCATATCTATCACCTTTTTGGAGAAACATATACATTTGTTCTAATTTTCAATTTATTTGGTTTCAGTTTCACTTTTAAGCATGTAAATTTATGTGGGACATTGTGAGAATTTAATAATTCAGCACACCTATTTGATATACAATGATCAAATTGGAATCCAAGCTTGGATAGTGAGAAATAGGTATAATTTAATATTTCTGCACAGTGAAACTAACGTCAAGTTTATCTTTAAAATACTGTCTTAGTAAGGGTTTCTATTGCTGTGAAGATACTGTCTCAGTAAGGGTTTCTATTACTGTGACTAGAGACCACGATCGTAGCAATTCTTACACAGGAAAAACATTTAATTGTGATGGCTTGTATTTTTAGGGGTTTATTCCATTATTGTCATGGTGCAACATGTTGGCATGCAGGCAAACATGGTGTGCGAGAAGTGTTTCTGCAATATTGGGTATGGCTTGAGAAGATATAAGACCTGAAAGTCCACCCGCACAGTGACTGCACTTTATCCATCAAAGCCATACTTACAACAACAAAGCCATGCCTCCTAATAGTGCCACTTCCTATGAGCTTATGGGGACCATTTTCTTTAAAACCAACACATTCCACTACCTGCCCCCATAGACTTATAGCCATATCATTAGGCAAAATGCATTTATTTCACCTTCAAAGTACCCACAGTCTATTACAGTTTCAGCAACTTTTAAACTCTAAAGTTCAGAGTCTCCTCTGAGATTCATGCAATCTCTTAACTGTAACCGCCTATGAAATCAAAATCAAAAAACAGAGCACATACTTCCAACATATAATGGCAAAGGGTGTGTACATTACCACATCAAAATGAAGAGGAGAGAGCACAGTGAGGAAATGCTGGACTAAAGCAATACCAAAATCAGGCTGGGAAAACTCCAAATCTGTATCTCCATGTCTGGTGTCAAAGGCTCTTCAGATCTCCAAGTCCTTTCAACTTTGTTGTCTGAAACACACTTCTTTCTTTGGGATGGTTCCTCTCCCTGTTAGCAGTTCTCCTTAGGAGGTATTCCATGGATCTGGCATCTCAAACATCTTGGGGTCTCTAAGGCAATCTAGTCATCAGCTACACAGCTTCACAAAATGACCTATAGTTAGGGACACCCTAACACTTGTCTGGCATCAACAGCTTTCCTTATTTGCAGAGGAAGGTTACATAATGTCTTTCTTCTTTTCTTGACTCTAAATCTAGAACTACATGGGTGAAGCTGCTATGTTCTGTTGCTTGCATGGCAGGAACATGGCCCCCTTATTCAATTAAATCTTCACCAGCTTTCTGGTTTGGGTGGTTTCTTTCACTGCATTAAATTTGACCATTCTAGAACTTGCTCTGTAGACCAGGCTTCCCTCAAACTCAAATATTTACCAGTCTCTGCCTTCAGAGAGCTGGAATTAAAAGTATGCATCACCACACTCTGCTGTAAGCTTGTCTTTAATTGCTTTTCACGAGTTGGAAACTTGGATGGGTGGGATCTTATCCTGAGATCGCAATTCCCTTTATTCCATTTCTTAATCTCTTTATCTCCTTGAGCACAGGATTTAGCTCCATTCCACTTCCTGGTGTTCTTTTTCTCCTCAAATTGTACATGTTCTTTTTGTTTTCAACTTGCTCCTTTTCATTATAATTTTTTTATTAGAGTTATCACTAATAACCTTAACCACATGACAGAGTCTATACTACAGTTTTGAGATTTCCTCTGTCAAGAGAATTAATCTGAAACTCTTTATTTGGCCTCAGGAAGACTTTTCAGACAAGGGCAAAAAGCAGCCACACTCTTCACCAGAATATGACAAGATCAGTTTCTAGGACACACGCTACTATTCTTCTCCTCTGAAACCTCTTGATCCAGGAACCCACAGTTCAAATCACACTTAGCCCCACTGTTCCTGTAAGGATGGATCATTAGGTAACACTGAAAGTGTTCAATTGCTTTTCTAATCCACAGTCTCAAGGACCTATCACAACACCCTAGTCCCTGTTACCAACTTCTTTTTAACTTAGGGTTTCTATAGGTGTGAAGAGACACCATCACCATAACAACTCTTATCAGGAAAAAACATCTAATTGGGTGGCTTACAGTTTTAGAGATTTAATTCCTTATCTTCATGGCAGGAAAGGCAGTATCTGGTGGCATGCAGGCAGACATGGTGCTGGAGAAGGAGCTGAGAGTAGAAAGGGGGATGCATATTGATCCTAGAGGAAGCAGAAAGTAAATTGTGTGTGGTTTGAGCATATATGAGACCTCAAAGCCTGTCTCTGACACACTTCCTCCAACAAGGTTGTACTTAACCCAACAAAGCCACACCTCCTAACAATGCCACTGCCAATGAGTTTGTAGGGGCCAGTGTGATCAAGCCACCACATATACCCTAAATATTTTACCAATATTTGTATAGTAGTTCTATATAATAGTCTATTTTTAACCTAAACTATAAAATGTATATATCAGTAACAACAGAAAAGTGTTATCTGATACTCAGTGTTGCTTAAATGAACTCATAAATATAGAACACTTTCATCTACTTTGGTACCAATTTCTTTCTTTCTTCCTATTACATTTTTTAATTATTCTTATTATATTCCAGAATGAGGCAGAAATGAACCTTTAAATGCACTTTCTTTGTGAGTTAGGTTTATATATGACTATGAATGAATCTATATATCTCTGTATTTATTTGTAAATACACAGATATTTGGTGTTTGGATATGAATCTGTTTCTGAAAATTTTAATAAAAGTAAATAAATTTTCTTATTTTACTAGAGACAACCATTTCTCGGGATTATTCTATTTATTATATTCCTTGTGGAATGAAATGGTTTCTGTTAATACATATGGCTTGATATTCAGTCTTCCACCTCAGTTTAGTCTGGTCATTTCACTGTCTACAAGAAAGCCTCTTGATTACTATCTGATCAGTTGATATACTACTTAAAATTGTGTTTATGTACCACAAATTATTCTATTATGGAGAGGCTCTAATATATAAAAATATATCTAGTAAAATCATATTTTTACTAGTGAAGTAATAAATAAAATATAAAATTTTTCGGAATCAATTCATGTCTACTCTTGGGTTCTTCATAAAATCATTTGCTCTATTCAACCATCATATTCTTGAGATCATCTATCTGCCCCCCACCCCTTCCCCACACCATTCCTTGTTCTCTCCTCAACCATTATACTCTTAAGATCATTTGTCTGCCAGTCTGCCAACTGCTCCCATCCCCATATCATCCCGTTCTTTCCATATGACATTTCCTCCACATTCTTTTTCAAATTGGCTGTTTTCTTTAGTCAGGGCAGAGCAAGGAACTCAGAGGACATTGAGAATAAGAGAAGTAGATATTAGGGTATTTCTCTTACACTCTGTATACCAAAGTGTCATTTGTTAGAGGATATCATAACTCCTTCAATTGTGTAACCCATATAGAAAATGCCTTTCTTGGGGTTTCAGAATCCCAGCATGGAAAAATATTCTGTTGTTCAACTCCTGAGAGATGACTACTCTCCTTTCCCAACTCAATCTTTGCCCTCTCCTCTCTCTCTCTCCCTCCTTCACTCTTCCTCCCTCTCTTCTCTCTCTCCCCGTCTCCTCTCTCTTTCCCCCTCTTCTCTCTCTCTCCCCGTCTTTTCTCTCTCCCCTTCTTCTTCTCTCTCTCCCCCTCTTCTCTCTCTCTCCCTCTCTTCTCTCTCCCTCTTTTCTCTATCTCTCCCCCTCCNCTCTCTCTCTCTCTCTCTCTCTCTCTCTCTCTCTCTCTCTCTCTCTTATTTAAAATCCATTAAGTCCAATTTGTGTTATCCATATATCTTGCTTATATGGCCTTTTACTTTAGCATGGTTTATTTAGCAGGGACTATATTATTTTTCCCACTCTTTTAAAAATTTTATATACCTACCATAGTTTCTCTTTCCTCTTCTCTTCTTGTTCCCTCCCCTCAGCTCCCTTCTACCCCTATCCTCATCCATCCACTTCTCCACTCTCTCCATTCAGAAAGGTACAGGCCTCCCATGGACTTAAACCTAGCATGGCACTTCAAGTTGAGATAGGACTAAGTTCTTTCCCCTGTACTAAGGCTGGGCAAGGTAAACGAGCATGGGGAACAGGTTTCCAAAAATCAGCAGGCCTTGACCTCACTGCTAGGCATATTAGGAGCAGATTAAGTTACACAACTGTCTCACACATGTAGGGGGCCTACGTTGGTCCCATGCAGGTTCCCTAACTATTGAGACCAATAAACTCAGGCCAGCTGTCTGTGTAGATTCCTCCATCATGACCTAGACCCTCCTGGCTCATACAATCCCTCCTCATTTTCTTCAAGAGAACTCCCCGAGCTAGGCCTAGTGCTTGACTGTGAATCTTGCACCCAACCTGCCTAACCTGCTCCCTCAAGTTCCCATCTCCTTATCCCCCTATCCCTGCCAAAAGTTTACCCAGGATATTTCAAAATTCAGTATTGCATACAGTGTTCTTAACATATCAGACAAGTATTAGGTAAGAAAGCATCTTCATTATCACAACCACTTTCAATTATATTTCAAGCAAGGATATTAATTCTTAAGATAATAGAATTGTATTTGCTGACAAATAAGGAAAATATGACAGGATTTTAATTGGTTTTATTAGTATTCTCTTTCCAGGCTTTAAATTGATGTAATTCTCTTCTCTCTTTGTTCCCTTTGATAAAGTTTTTGACGCTTTACCACCAACGCGCTATCAGGAGACAATGAGCACCATCCGGACATGGATCCAGCAGTCAGAAAATAAACTCTCTATACCTCATCTTAGTGTCACTGAATATGAAATAATGGAGCAGAGACTCGGGAAACTGCAGGTATGTGGACAATTGACTACTATAAGCAACAAAGAACATGTCTTAAAACTTTCATTGTTGTTGCATTAAATATAAATAAAGATAATAAAAGTAGGGATCACAGATTAGGAATTTAAAAAAAAGGAACAGGAGAATATTGTGGAATAAAACTATATTTTCCTTTTAAGTATAATGTATATTTTAAGAGATCAAGTATAAGTGTTGAATTAGATCATTATTTTATCAGAATTACATATTTTATAAATACTGATATCTTTAAGCATAGATTTAACCAATAGATTTATGTAAGATTCTGTTGAAATATTTGATACTGAGTAGGTATTTTAACAACCAAAGTCAAGAAAGGTTAAATAATAATATGGGAAAATAATATGATATAAAGACATATGAGGACTAAATTTTTGTTGATTCCAAAATTGCTATGTTGTATACTCATCTTTTAAAATCTGAAAATATATTCATTATAGTTAGAAATTAAGATAGTATGTCTATATTTTAAGAATTAAGTTCATAAAAATACTATTACATTTTTAGCTATTTCAAATCCTTTTAAATGAAATTGTGTTAGTTCTTTTTATAAGTAATTTTAAGAAAATTTTATTTAAATATTTTCTTTTACTATATAATCCCTAATTATAGTTTTTCCTCTATTATAATACAGAAAAAAATAGCAGCAGAGTTCTTCTTTCTACATATTTGGTATAGTATTTCTGATGTTCACTTGATAAAAGTGTGATCCAAAAGAACTAATACACTTCAGAAAATTGAGCCTATAAAAATAAGCTATTAAGAATAGTGAAAGTACAAAACTAATGTTGAATTAATTATTAGAAGCTGATATTATAACAGAAAAACAAGCTATATAAGAACAATCATAGGAACCATTGGGAATATATGAAGGACCCTATGTCATCGGGGAAAACCAAAACTACTATGTACAATGAAGTGTTTTAAAGAATTTATACTGGTGAAATATTGTTAAGCATCCGTTAAAGAGTCATACATGTCAGTAAGATACAAGAACAACCAATGCAAAAATAGCAAAGGAAAGAAAAATGACACAAAGTAATTTTTTTTCTAAAGCCAAGGAATAGTCTTCAAAAGAAAGTCACCGGGGATATAATAGACTTTGAATAATCCTATGATAAATTATAAATGCAGTTCTAGAGGATGAAGTAACAAATGAGATATAATCTTCCCTAGTACATAGTTAGTGTCAGTCAGAAGTAAGTAAATGCAGTTCATGATGGGAATTAATTTTTTGAGGAAGTCTCTTCAGTATTTTATATTAATACACACATTTTCATTCAGTTGTATATACAAACACAATCTTATAAAAATTCTATTTTTATACAAATAATTTAAAAAATGTTCAGTAGTAGAAGTGGATGAATGTAAACACATTTCATCAAAGTGAAAATTTAGAAATTAATTATAAAACTTTAGTTAATTTCTGTTAATAATCAGATGTCTTGAGAGAATATTCAAGGTTTCCACACATATAAATTTAATTTAGTAATAATTTTAAGAAGAAATATTGAAGGTTGGTTTATTGAGGTTTTACTGCAGGTAAACTAAAAACTAAAATGCATTACTTATATAATAAGCCTAATTATCAATATATAGGTATTCAGTAAAAATTAGATATACCAAATTTCTCTATAAATAAAATATGCTTTGGAACGTATTAGACATTATTTATATGAATACATGCAAATTGTTTTGTCAGAAATTCTTCTTTGTTTAGATCTTTAAATTACATAAGCTATCATTTAGTTTCTTCTTGATGTGAGAAAATCTCATCAATTATGCCTCATTTAATGTAAATGCACTTCATTGTTTAATTTTGAGGCTTTGCAAAGTTCTTTGAAAGAGCAAGAAAGTGGCTTCAGCTATCTGAGCACCACTGTGAAGGAGATGTCCCAGAAAGCGCCTTCAGAAATAAGACAGAAATATCAGTTAGAATTTGAAGAGGTTGAGGGGCGTTGGAAGAAGATCTCCACCCAGCTGATGGAACATAGCCAAAAGCTAGAAGACCATATGAATAAACTTCGAAAAATTCAGGTAAGCCAAGGTTTTTCTTTGTATATTCATACTTATTTTCCACAGATCAGTGCAGTGTAAGATGTGATGGGAAAGAGATATTTGACTCCCAGAGTCCTTCAAAGGCATTGATGAGATTAAAGACAAATCTTTCACGATTGAGTATAACTTTACTATTTTTCCTAAGAAAATTTAATGATACATTCTTCTTGGATTTTCTATAGGACTGAATCGATTATTTTCACCAACACCAATTCACAGTTAAAATTTTTAATATAAATATTTAAAACATATTATTCCAGAATTAAACAAGCCTTCTAGCATTCTACTATCGATGTTATGATATACCAGATGATAAAGAATATTGTTTGCATGTTTAACTTTCTTTTATCTGCAACGTCACCCTGTCACATTGGATATTTTTGATTGGGAATAGTTGTGAACATATTAACTATGTGGAACTGTATTAAGCAGTATAACTGGGCAAGAAAGAACTCCATATATAAGGAAAAGAGCTAATGAAACACTAATCATTATACAGATGTTCTCAACTATAATTTGAACTACAGGAACTCAGTATTAAAGAGGCAAAATGAGACCCTTGCAAAATGGAGCAAATTCTCATTTGTTTGAAATATGTACAATATGTCATCCACAATATGTATGTTTTCTAATAAAATATATGGTTCAGAAATGTACTATGCCATAAGTGGTCACGAATGTTCCTCTTCTGCATGAGTCATTTCACACGGAAAATGGAATTAAACATAACTACAAAAGAACAATTACAAAGGTTTATTACCAGTAATTTTAATTTGGGGGTTTATTTGTTTCTTTTTTTTTTAAGTTTTCCAGAGAAGGTTTCTCTGTAGTTCTGGAGCCTGTCCTGGAACTAGTTCTTGTAGACCAAGTTGGCCTTGAACTCACAGAGATCTACCTGCCTCTGCTTCCCAAGTGCTGGGATTAAAAGCATGAGCCACCACCACCCAGCTTTACCAGTAATTTGAAAAATTGAAATTGAAGTTATATTTCCATCATCCAATCATCATCATAAAAAGGGAAGCGATCACTGGCATAAATTTAGGAAAAGGATTTCTGTGAAGTAAGAATGAATAAACTTAAAATATTATAATTAATTTCTCAAGGAATTCATGGTAAGACCTGAATTGAAGATAGTGGAGACATGTAAGGGAAAACCTTATGTGAAGCATATATTCTCAATAGAAATTTTAGAAAGGAGAAGGAATATAAATATACATTGTGATTGAATTACATGTAGTTAAAGAAGTGACAGCTATACCTTTGAAAAGTCACTGAAACGAAGTACATGAATAAAAGTAATACAAGGAAAATGGATGGGAGGTTTTTGTAAATTTATAAATGACAAAAAGATATCATGGTCTTCCTGATCATTCTTTCTAACTAGTCACAGAAATAAGAAACTAAAAGCTTTGTCTTGGAAGGTAACATAATCTTCCCTGAAGATTCCCAACTGAAGGAACTGTTTAACCTGTCAACTGCAGAAAACAATTTGTGGAGGTTAATGTTTAGGGAAGCTATAAAGGCACGATTACATTGAGTTTACTGTTCCTCGTTTGTTTTATGTACACTAAGGACACATTATTAGTATTATCATGCCTTGTTTTGTAACTTCAAATTTCTCAAGAGAAGATATGATTTAATGTTCTCAAGAGAAACATCATAAAACCACATTTGGCAGTACTTTTTTATTTTTAACAATAGCAGACTTCATAGACCAATGCTCATACTATGAGCCATAAAATGCAGTCTTAGTAAAAATATTCTTTTCTAGAATAGCTCCAGTGATACATCCCTCAAACATGGAAATTGTTTCCTGACTTCTATTCAGACAGATCATCATAATGAACTGGGTTGAGAATAATCGGAGCTTAATAATATCTTAAAATTGTTTTGTATTTTTTTATTTCAGAATCACATAAAAACTTTGAAGAAATGGATGGCTGAAGTTGATGTTTTTCTGAAAGAGGAATGGCCTGCCCTGGGGGATTCTGAAATTCTAAAAAAACAGCTGAAGCAATGCAGAGTAAGACTTTTATCTGATGCTTTTCAAATGCTATCTTTTATTTGGGTAATACCATTTCCTTAGCTCACTCACTTACTGATGGGACAGTTCATAATCACTTGCTGTTTGGACAGTTCAAAATATCTGAACACATTTTTGGATATTCCAGCACCTATTACATGAAGATCATGCACATGGTTAAACACACTTCAAGGTCTTCAGAAAATAGTTTAAATATCTCTAGTGCCCATACTGCATATTGTTTGGGCCTCACTTTATAAATCGTAACACAAAATTCAATATAATCTAAAGAAAACATTCAAGTACTTATTAGTTCTTACTCTAGGTTGTTTTTCAAATTTAATTGCATTTCAATGGACTATATACTAGTGTGTGCATGTGTGTGTGTGTGTGTATGTGTGTGTCATGTACTCTTTGAACGAATGCCAAAGACGAATATTAAGTGCCTTCCTCCCGTGGTTTCCATGGTATCTTTTGAGTAAGTCTCTCAGTGAATCAGGGCTCACCAGTTATCTAATTTAACTAACTAGCAAGCACCAGGTGTACATTTTTCTTTGCAAGTAGTAAAATAAGTACACACACTACTGTGGCCAAGTTTTTACATATATGAACTTAAGCTCTCTGTTCATAGCAACCATTTTGCCCACTGAGCCATCTCTTAAGCCCAACCATCTATAGTTCCGAAATGCTATTCCTCAGAACATTGTCATGCAACATGGGGCAAGTAATCAGTCTCTTGAAATTACTTTCTTTTCAAGTAAAAGCTAAAAGGCAGTTCTATGATGGACAAGTATTGGAGGAGCCTGTTTTTCATAACCAAAATTATTTTGAAGCTATTCATGTATGAAGATCATTAATTTGACTCATTTTCTAGCAAGAAATACCTAGTTTATTTGAAAGTCTTTGTGAGTTATGTGGCATATGTGTAGATAATTTCCTGCATCGTTGCTAGCATAATAGTCACTGAATATTTTAAGGATTTTATGCAGATTTGTGCTTTGTTAATCTTTTAGTAGTCAAAATTCATGTCAGATGTAAATTATATATGTATATAAATTGTAAAAATTATGGTGATGCTTTTTCTGTCATGTTAAACAACACATTGTTTCTTCAGCTTTTAGTCAGTGATATTCAGACAATACAGCCAAGTCTAAACAGTGTCAATGAAGGTGGCCAGAAGATAAAGAGTGAAGCTGAACAAGAATTTGCATCCAGATTCGAAACAGAACTCAGAGAACTTAACAGTCAGTGGGATCACATGTGCCGCCAGGTATGCACAGTTTCATTCACTGTGGCTTATTTTATGTCCATGAATTTAGCAAAGTTTCTGTTCAGTCTGACTTCATCATTACCTACATTGAAAACTTTCTTCTTGACTATGTTGACTGTCGAAACTACTTTTATTTCAAAGAAATTAGTTGTTTCTCTCATATATGGCTACATTTTAGTCAATAGTTCCAATAGTACCTAAGATCCATACTAAAAACTGAAATAAGTTTCTTTATTTCTAAAAATTAATAATTTTATTAATTGACTTAATTGGGATAGAATACATATTTATATTTACTTAATATGGAAATAAACTCTGCATTCATATTCAGGTTTTCCTGTTAATACAACATTTTTTTGTAGATATTTATTTCTAATTTCAGCATTAAGTTGTGGAAAATAAAGTACATTCATGGGGAGTGTCTATCAAATAGTTCGTGCTTAAATCACTCTATTTTGAACGAAAGCAGTAATTGCTTTTAAGTTTTGTGCCCTTTCCTTTCTGTATTGAAGAGACAATTAGTCTTTGGTTATTTTAAGTAACCTTTCAAAGTTGAAAAGTACTGATGCCAAAAGACAAAGGCTAAGTTTGAGAAAGGAAAGGATATATAAGAGAAAGTCAAAGCAAATCTGTGCAGTTGATACAATTGTCGACAAATGCGTAACTGTTCCATTAACTCACAGCTGAGATAGCCCAGGGTCAGCTAAGTTGCATTCTTCACATCTTCTCGTCACTGATAGAAAAGCTGCCCAGACTAAAAACGCTTAAATGGTGGATTATATCTCTGAAAATTTCCACAAGGCCTAGATGAAATATAATAGTTTTAGGAAGATCCTGAACAGAGGACTAGAAATAACACAAATATTTTACTGAGAAAAAAAGTGGGATCAGCAGCAGGAAATGAAAAAAAAATAGCCAACAGCATTTCTCAAACATATTTTTCATAGTTTATAGAAGCATTTTTTAAATAACTTTTCAATTCATTGTGTTTTCACGCTTGAGACCTATTATTTTCTATAATGTGTATTAGGAACTCACTGTTCAAGTAAAGTTATGAATTTAGTGACATGTTGCCTAACAAAAACTAGCCATAGAGTGCCGCTATTTTCCAATCCTGGTATTGAAAAATAAAAAAAAAAAATCTCCATTTTTTTCTTGAGGTATCACATTCCACATACATTTTCTATCACCAAATTACCTAGGTTTTCAGGGGGTGGGATATGGTGATTCCACTTCACTGTTCCAGAGGGCAAATAGAAATTAAATGTAAATTGGTCCTTTCTAGAAATGTTTGCACATTAGAATGAATATGTAGTGTTTACTCTGATGTTAAATAATACTTTCTCATGAAAGTTCAAATGTCTGTATTAGTTGAAAATACTTAACAATCCCTGAATCTGATTTTTAAAATAACAAAATGACAAGGAGTTTAGATTATATTTAAAAATAAAGAAGAAAAACATTATTTGAAATTTCAGAGATAATGTATCTGAATGATCCATGTCAAATTTTTAGCTATTAAAAAAAATAAAAGATAATTCTTATTAAGGTAGTCTAAAAATTATTGAACTAAGCACAAAGAAAGTAAGGAATTAAGGGAGAGAGAAGAAAGACAGTTTTGTGTTTATACATACCTTAAATTACCATAGTGTATAGATATTTATTAAAATGTTTAAATGCACTGATGATATAGCTCAATTAGATATTTTATTCATTAATTCCCTTTGCCTTTTTATTTGACTACGTAATTACTAAATGCTTATTATCAGAAGTAAATCAGGAATAAAGTGAACATCTTAGTTAGTATCATGAAAATGCTAGTTAAGTTAGAAGATGGAATTTAAATTAGTTAAACTTTATCTAATATTTTTGGTTGTGAGCCTAGCCTTTAACAGCTGAGCCATCTCTCCAGCCCTAGTTAAACTTTATCAAAGTAAACTAAAGTAATTTCTTATTCTGAAGTCACATATTAAAGATTATACATGAAATAGTACTCAATATTATACTTGAAAATTTCACAACATTAAGACAAGAAGAATTAGAATGCACTATAATCAGCTGGTACTAACAGCTGTGTAGATCATGACAGTTTAGCATTTCCAATATGATATATTTAAGAGGAAATGCCATGTAACCCTTTTAATTTAGGAAAACAAAAAAGTTTCAGAATTTCTCTCTGGCTAGTAAAGCCATATTTTTTCAAGTTTGTTGAAGAATTTAGAAGCTATGCTTGCTAACAAGATCTTAGGTTAGTTATGAACGTGAAGGAAGACAAATGATGTTATCTTTCTAGGGACTGACTTCTGTCCCTAGAATCACTTTTTCTGACTCCAACGAGTTCCACTTCCAGGACACTCATGTTATCTTCTCAGAATGCACCTTTCTGTCCTTAGAAAGTCTGCTGCCAACCCTTTTCCTCTAGTTTATTTGTATAGTATAGCATGACTCTTTCATTACAAATCTTGATTAAATTCTAGTAGTCTTTTTAATACTTTGTATTTTCAACAGCTTCAAAAGATTCAGAGAAAGAATTGTAACTATGTAAAAATTTAATAGCATGCTGCTTTGCTGTGGGTCTCTGCCTCTGTTTCCATCATTTGCTGGATGAAGGTTTTATGGTGACATTTAAGATAGTTATCAATCTAACTACAGGGCAAGGCCAGTTCAGGCACCCTCTCCTCAATTGCTTAGGGTCTTACCTAGGGTTATGCTTGTAGATTCCTGGGAATTTCTCTAGTGCCAGGTTTCTTGCTAGCTCCATAATGACTTCCTCAACCAAGACATCTCTTTTCTTGCTCTTATCTCAGTCCTTCCTCCATCTCTACTATCCTGTGCCTTCTTCCTGCTTCTCCCCTGGGAGGAGTGAGAATATGAGCAAAGAGGTCAAGACCATGATGCGGACATCCAGTAAAACAGTTTACCTGAGCTAATGAGAGCTCACTAACTCGATCCTGACAGTGAAGGAATCAGCATAGGTCCAAACTAGACCCTCTGAGTGTGGGTGACATTTGTATTACTGGGGCAGACTGTGGGACCACTGGCAGTGGTACCAGGATTTACCCCTTCTATTTATACTGGCTTTTTGCGAACCTATTCTCTTTAGATGGATACTTTGTTCAGCCTGGATATAGTAGGGAGGGCCTTAAACCTTTCCAAAAGCAATGTACCTTACCCTCTCTGAAGAGTGGATGGCATGGGGTGGGGCTTATTTGGAGGGGAAGGGAGAAAGGGATGAAGTAGAAACTAGGATTGGTATGTAAAATGAAAAATTTAATAGTGTGTTGGCTTTGGGTCTTTATGGATTTACTGTGAAAAAATATGTATTTATCAGAATTTTTGCCAAATTTGGTGTTGGTAATATATTCAAGAGAAGTATTTGCTTTGGTAGATAGGTTAGAATATTGAACTAAAGAGAAAAAAAACATAATAATTACATTACATTAATTATTATTGATTTGTAATTATACAGATATTTAGTATCACACATGCAGAAAACGTCACTTTTGTAAAACAAGGCATTATTCAAAATATAGAAACTTGTTCACATCTGGTCAGAATCACTAAAGAGTTACATGTGAACAGAGAGTGAAGCATTTTACACTAAGGGTAACAGTCTGCTACTTTGGATCAAGCTGTTCTAATAAGGCATTGTTTTAGAAGTTAGAGGTTTTGCTGATTTTGTGATGAATTAGCACTAAGTATAAAACAACTTAAGTTTTCAGAAAGTAATGTGGTTTTAAAATCTGGACTTTATAAGAAGGGTCTGTTTCTCATTGATTCAGGTTTTATATACTTTCTGGGAGACCCTGGGTCTGATCTCCAGCATCAAAGAAAATGGCCAATAAAACAAAACAAACAACATTCTTAGACATATGTTTCATATGTCTACATATATTATTTAACAACTTGATTTTTATATATTGCATATATATAGTTGAGTAACTTTTAATTTTACTATAGATAAGTTAATCGTCAGTTTATACCTATTAAAAATACCTAGAATTTTTTTCTAATCAACTGATATTTCCAAGATGAATTCAACAGCATACATGCAACTCTATATACTCTGATTCACTCTTAAGAATGAAAAAAGGAAATTCAGGTTTAGTATTAGTACTTTAAATATATTTGAGTAATATACTCTAGTAAGGTAGCCTGCTATTTCATGTTATTCTCAACAGGCATGGAAAGATCTTTCTGCTACCTCTTCCAAAATGTTTGTCTTCACTAATTATTCTTTGCCTTTTTTATATATGAAAATATATTGATATTTATCACTTAACTATTAGTCACATTTCAACATCCTTTGCAGGTATACCCATTATACATATGATACATATTATACAACATCATATTCCATGTATCTCTATATATCTATCCATCTTTATATCTATATGTATGTCTGTATTGTACATCATGATATATTCTTTTTAATGAACCACCTATGCATTTCCACTGTGTTCACTTAGATTTATGATACTTTTAAGTACTTATACGACTTTGTAAGTACTAGAATATTTAAAATTGTTCACAAAATATACATAATTATGTAAAGTGGTATATGGGCCAATAAAATTATTAACTGCACATATTTTCTATTCACAAAGAGAATATATATATATATATATATATATATATATAGCCATATAATGTAGCAACCTAGTTATTTTATTAATGGTGCAAACTAAGTAGCTCCAGATTATATTTACAACTATAAAGGACATTCAAACCCCATTAGTTTGAGGTTTTCTTCAACTGCCTACCCTGGCCAGCTCTGCTGGTCTGATCATTGAGCCCACAAGTTCCTTTAGTGAGGATGGAAGTGAAAAAAATTCACAGCACCAGTCTCTCTAAGCTGGTTGTGCATTGGGTCGAACATTACCAAGTGGACCCAGGTATATTCAATAGCCCCTATCATAGAGCAGAAAGTGAAATCCGGGTTATTTATCTCATTACTCATGTTCCTTCTTGCTTTATCTTTACTATCAATGCTTTTCATTATGTATAGACTGATCAGTAATATGGCGAAAATAATTCCTATTCGCTGCCAATGCTTATGTTTTAACTTTTGCTATGGCTGTTCTTGATTGCTTGATTGTTTTATGAAAGGTCTACACCAGGAAGGAAGCCTTGAAAGCAGGTTTGGATAAAACTGTCAGTCTCCAGAAAGACTTATCAGAGATGCATGAGTGGATGACACAAGCTGAAGAAGAATATCTAGAGAGAGATTTTGAATACAAAACTCCAGATGAATTACAGACTGCAGTTGAAGAGATGAAGGTAAAAGAAAACAAAGAAAGAAAAACTGGAAAAATAACATCTTTGAAACTGTGATTCTGCAAAATGTGTACTTTTTATATTACTGTTCTTATAGGAATTTGGGAATGGTGTTTATAGTAACTTTCAAAAAAGAACAGCACTTGCTTCATAAAATGGAAAATGATTACTGATTGCAGGACAATCGATGGGTGTGAGATTCTATTTTGCTTTTAAAGCATCTGTGAGGAAGTATGTTTAATGTGGGAGATCTGAGTCATGAGAAAAAGCCAGTGTTCCAAAATAAATCTTGGGAGTACATTCCTGTCACAGGAAATACTTCTAGCAAAGACACTATGACAAATTGAGAAAGGAAGTAGTAAAGCACTGCCTACACAAAAGCGATAGATCAGAGGCTAAATAACTTGAGGTTCATTTGAGGCCATGGATAAACATCCTTTGCCACCAGAGTCATGTGGGCAATGATAAGAATTTTCATTCTGAGTAAGCAGGGTAGAGCTTTCAAGGATTTCTCATTAGAGTCTATGATGATTTTCAATTTGATTGTGAAGAGGTCACAATGAGACTAGCCATATTTACAGTCGGTATGTTTACGGTAGCAGAGATCCTACTTTCTCTGCTAATCAGAAATAAATAAGGCAAACCCCAAATAGAACAATTAATTATAGCTACTCATATTTTATATGTAGTTGAACAACATGAATCGATGATATGCCGCCCCATTCTGTTTTGACCTATTATATTTTGGAATAACACCTTTTTAATTTTCAAAATTATTGCCACCTTTTGAGTTCCATCCCCTTATATCACAGTTCTTGGGTGACATCTTTTCTATTACCTTTAATGAAAGTCAATAAATACAACTTCAGATTTCTCAAAAGATCAATGTCACCTTAGAACCTGCTTTGTTTCATGATGGATTCTTTTGTTTTGTACTCATTGTCTCTCTATCTATTTTGTATTTTTATAAGTACTCATGCTAACTGCTTGTGTTACTGGAGCAGCATATATATATATATATGTGTGTGTGTGTGTGTGTGTGTGTGTGTACACATATATGTGTTTATATATGTGTGTGTATGTACACATATATCTTTATATATATGTGTGTGTACACATATATGTGTTTATATATGTGTGTGTACGTATATATACAAATACATACACACGCACACATAGCCCAGTGAGATACTGTTTTCCTGTTTTATTTCTAAGGATGGAGAGTAGTGGTGTGCTTCAAATTTTAAAATTGTGAAAACAATCCTAAAAGTAAGTGAGTGGTCCAATCAATTTGTTCACTTTGATTGGCATGTTTAAATAATTGGTCTAGTTGCACAATTGGTGCAGTATGCTGGAAAATTGAAAAAGAATGGCTCAGGCAGCCTCTGGCAACAGTAGCTGAGGGAATTGGCAAGGAAATTTAATTTCTTGAGGTTCTGCTTGCAAGTCAAAGAATTTCTTGGGGTCAGTTTGCTGTCTGGTATGCAGTGATAGGGCTTCCGACAGATTTCTAGCTCTGCTCATTTGAAGAACAACTTTATTTGTATTGTTGCAAATGCCAGCAGAGTTATTTTGACATCTCTTTAAAAGAACAAACAGACATATTCTTTATGTTTATTTTCTTCTGTGACATTAAAATGACACTACTGCTTGGTAACTTATTTTAATTTACAAGTAAAAAAAAATTCTTCTGTCATAAAGGGACCTAAAGGGAGTTTTTAATGAGCAGCCTCCTACTTTGAATATTTTTTTGAAGACTGTCATTGATTATATTCTAAAACTTTGTAAAAAAAAAATCTTTAATTTTATTTTTAACATATTTTCTTTTATTAACATTTAACTACTCTAGTTTTAATTATGGAACTTAGGAAACCATGTATTTGTAATATAAAGAAATAATAGAAATATGCATTTGCTTAATCACTAAAGCGATGGTATTTGTACTAGAGATGGCATCAGAACGATCTGCACGGTATAAATGGTTACTTAAAGGCTGGTGAGAGGATCTAATGCAAAAGTGCTTGTTGCCAAGCAAAAGGACTCAAGTTGCAGCCTTTGGACCCATATGGGGGAAGGGGAGGACCATTTATCTATCACGAACTGTCTTCTGACATCCGGATGTACGCACACACAAATGTAATAAGTAATAAATGATAAATAAAATATATGACACTGTTCCCATGAGTCAGAATTTTGAATTCAATGAGTTTTAGGGTGTCTATGAAACATTAAATTTTCAGTAATTTTCCATTTAATCCCAATGACTAAATTTTTGACTAGTACAACCACCTATTAAAAAGCATCAGTCAAAATATTACTGATGAGAGGCAACTGATAATGTATATGCAGGTAATTTCTATGTATCTAACGATACACACATATATGTCTAGTTATTTTTATTTATATATATATATATATATATATATAGTTAGATGCACCAAATGCCAAAAGATACATTTTTTGAAGATAGTATCTAAATTATATAAACTCCATTCTTAATACCTATCTGAATTTGCAAATTTTGTTGTTTCTTCCCAAAATCTCTATAACATTTAAACCAATAGTCATAAAACATTGTATAAAAAGTTGTACAATAAAGAACTATTTCTTACTCTTTAGAGAGTTAATTATAGTTTGTATAAATAGTGATTGCACTTATGGAAGATATTATGATACTTCATTCTCAATCCACATCAGACTTTAGACTAGTTTAACACAAACTATCAGAATGAAAAAGCATAATACTAGAACCATTCACTTAAATCACTTGACTCTGAATGTCTAATAATGGATAACAAAATTTGTAAGGATTGGCATCAGTATACCATTAGTGGCAAAGCGAAAGTTGTTGAAAATGTTTACATTACTATAGGAAAACAGGATTTAAATAGAAACAAACCCCAAGTTCATATGATGTCAAAAATATTTACAAGAATGGACTGTTTTTCAAATATGTAAGTTGAAATCTACGGAGGCCAACATTTTATAGTTAAACTGTCTCATATTTTTATCATAATATGTATTTATGGCATCTTTGAAATTAAACTTTCAATGGAAAGTTTAATTATACTAAAACTATAAATATCTGACATAGCATTTTAAACCTCTCTTGTCCATGCCTTTACCATATACTGAATTCTTCCCACCATTTGTATTTAGGCCCAAATTCCACTAGCCAAAATCTTTATTGTTTTGCTTGGGTTCCAGTTCAAATTTTTGTGGCAGGCTACAAGTAATTAAGAAAGTAAAATTGTGTCTACTGCCTTTCAACCAATTGCGGAAAAATATGGGTATACAATCCTCCAATTCCCTCACCTACGAACACAATAATTTTGAGGCATCTGTTTCCCAGAGCTTTCCTATAGAATTAATGTCTAATCATTAACTAAATTGGCTAGAATTATCTAGATATTCATAATTTTCCTTTGCTTTCCTATACCAACTCCTTATTCAGGTAATGACATTTCTTTAAAAAGCAACCTAAACTTTCCTATTTATAGTCAGTATTTTTAAATTCAGGAAGAATCTAAACTATAGATTGTCTCTCTCTTTCTTTCTGTCTCTCTCTGTAAGTCTGTTTTAAAATGTATTTTCAAGCCGGGCAATGGTGGCGCAAGCCTTTAATCCCAGCACTCTGGAGGCAGAGGCAGGCGGATCACTGTGAGTTCGAGACCAGCCTGGCCTACAAGAGCTAGTTCCAGGACAGGCTCCAAAGCCACAGAGAAACCCTGTCTCAAAAAAACAAAACAAAAAAAATAAAACAAACAAACAAAAAAAAAACAAATAAAATGTATTTTCACATTACAGGTTAAGTGTAAATAGCCTCTGACTAAATGACATATACTACTTTCTTGTGAAGATTATTTGGTTTCTTAAACTCTCTACAATGAGCAAAATAGACACTGTGAGGAATCCTTGATAGTATGAACAAAACAAAAGTAGCTAAAGGGTTTGTTTTAGTGCCAGACAATGTTGAAGACCAACATAAGGGCTTTGCTTAGATGAGTTATTTTCGGTGAGTAGAGGTAACACTACTACACATTTGCTTGCCTGTCTAGAAGGAAAACAAGAGAGGGACTGAAACCATGATTATTAAAGCCATTTGTCAGAACCAGGACAGGGGACAGGAGGGCGCTTTACATGCTGTGCTTTATCCAGTGTAGATGTAAGATGTTTTATACATGTATAATGTTTACATATATACTACTAAGTAATCTTATTGGATTACACTTCGATGTGTGCAAAATAGACTGATCCAATCTTTAAGCTTCATGAAACAAATTGTCTTCCATAGGAGAATAGGAGGAATAGCTGGGAGATATTATACTTAAGCTTACTAGGTTATTTCTATGTTTCCAAGCACTGAAGATTCTTCTCAACAAAATATATCAAATATTGCATTACAGAATTTCTGTTTATATTTAGTATCTTTTGATTTAGATAGTATCTTTACTATATTCAATGTTGATCCACCTGAATAATTTATAAGTGATCTTAATCATAGACTTCTAAATATTTTTAAAACCTAGTATTAAAGTGTTTGTTTCTTAATTATTTGAAACTTTATATAAAACATATATATATGACACACACACACATATATATATGTATATATATATATATATACTAATGTACAGATAACTTATTATATTCTTATATTTGAGACTAAGTTTCATTTTGCCTAAGGTGACCTTATATAACTATATATCCAAGAATGGCCTTAAGGTAATTTTCTTTTTTGCTCTACCTCCAAAGAAGAGGGCAAACAGGTATATGACACCGTACTTAGTTGAAACTCTTATTATTAGAAGTCAATTATATTTTGATAGTATTTATTTCAAATTTATAATGATACATCAATCTGAAAAGAACTGGAATAAGCATTAAGTTTATGTTTATGAAGTATCCCAATTAGAGTGCTACTAGGAATAAATTAGGTTGTCTATGGTAATTAATATTGGAAATGATAATGTTGACTTGCTCTTAAGAGAATATCCTTTTCTTTTCAGAGAGCTAAAGAAGAGGCACTACAAAAAGAAGCAAAAGTGAAACTCCTCACTGAGACTGTAAATAGTGTAATAGCTCAGGCTCCACCTGCAGCACAAGAGGCCTTAAAAAAGGAACTTGAAACTCTCACCACCAACTACCAGTGGCTGTGCACACGGCTGAATGGAAAATGCAAAACTTTGGAAGTTAGTTGTCTTTCTTTGTTTCTATCATTTCTGTGTCAAAAGGATAGTAAGAACTTAAGTTTTGCTATAAAGCCCTTTAAGCTAGAATTCCTTATCCAAACATTTACAACATGTATAAATTTGTGCCGATTGCTTATCTTGCATAAAAGTGGTTAAAGGTTGTGAATGATCATAATAGATTTTGTGCTGTTGCAGAAATGGCTCAGTATTTATGAATGTTTTCTGCTCTTCCAGTTGACTAGAGTTCAGTTTCCAACATCCAATGTAGGCTGTTCACAAGTGCCTGTAACTCAAGTCTTCTGTGGGCACTTGCACATATGTTATACATGGGGGCACCCACACATGACAGAAATACAAAACAAAATCTATTAAAAAAAGAATTGTATTTATTTTAATAAACTATTTGTTTTGAAAATAGCATTTGTTTTAAAAAGAATAGAATTTTATGTTTAGAAATTAAGCTAACTATATGACTAAAGTACATAGACAACAGTTATATGTTTCCTGGTATTGTTAGGTACAAAATTTATAAATATTAGAATATTATATATAATATTAAAGGATTTTTCATATATATTAATGTGCATAAAACATTTGAATGTGTATTATCTTAATTCTCTTACATGTAAACACTCTGAAAAGTTCTCTTATTATGATCATTTTTCATAATCACTAGGCTCCTACAGGCTACTTTATAAGACATAATGTGTAACTAGCTCCTTTTTGACATTTCTATTTATTCATTATCACAAATCCTGCTTTTGTTTTCCCACTTGACTCATTCTCTAGATTATGTTTGTGTGAATATAGAGGAAGAATTCAAGTACCTCATACAGTTGCCAGCAGTAATTTTTATTTTTAAGATATAAAAGGGAAAGAGTACACAAACACCCAAATGGGTATGATTTCAAGAACCGGATACAAGTTGAATTTTAAGTCTTTTATTCCCAGACAGAATTATCTTGCGAATGTAGTCAATAAAGGGTTTGATTACATGATTATTGTTGAAGAATACTGTTTTATTAGTTTTATACTCTTTGAAATGTGGAGGCATATGCAGTTCTGAATGATTAGCTGGACCTTTAAATAATTTGGGGGTTTCTTGGTTAATAATTTCCAGCATGCATATAACAAGTTTTGTTAGTCTTTCCCAGTTCCCTCTCCTCCATTTCTTCCTGTATGCCCATCAATATGGCTGTTTGATCCCAATTTCACATGTTAATTTCTTTTTTAAAACTTATATAGTCAACTTAGTGTTTCCAATATGTCTGAGGGCACAGGGCTATCTAGTTGAGCATAAGTAACCTCATAAGGGCTCTTATCCTAAACTACCCTGACTTTCTTTTTTCCAGTAGCCATAAATAGCCAGTCCTCAACAAGGGGTGATACTTCTTTCATCTCTTCCCTCCTACCACAACTAAATGCTAGGATATGTCTGACTTGATTCTATATGGGTGTTGAAATAGGAGCGGCAGGGCTGCATCCCCGGCACCCGGCCGTCCGCATGGCTAGGTTATGCCCAGAAATAATTACACGGAAACTGTATTCTTTCAAACACTGCCTGGCCCGGCTAGTTCCAGTTTCTTATTGGTTAGCTCTTACATATTGTTCTAACCCATTTCTAATATTCTGTGTAGCCCACGAGCTGGCTTACCAGGGAGGATCTTAACCTGCGTCTGTCTGGAGCGGGAGAATCATGGCGACTCTCTACTAAGCTTCTTTTTCCCAGAATTCTCTTCTGTTTTCTCCACCCACCTAAGGGTGGGCCTATCAAGGGGCCTAGGCAGTTTCTTTATTAATAAGAAATCACTCCCACATCATATGGGTCTTGCGGATGGTCTCACAACTACTGTGACTTCATATGTGTGATAACTCTGATGAGGTCATCAAACAACTTCCTGTGAGTCATTCACTGACTCTGCCTCTTGCAATCTTTCTGCACCATTTTCCACAATGATCCCAGAGCCTTGGGAGAGAGATTAAAACTAAGGTTAGGATGTTATTGCCTTGAAGAGAGGCCATGACCACAGCAAGTCTTATAAGGGAAGCTTTTAATTGGATCTGGCTACAAGTTTCAAATGTTTAGTCCATTATCATCAAGACAGGAAGCATGGTAGCATACAGAAAGGCATGGTGCTGGAGAAGGAGTTGAAAGTTCCAGATTAACAGTCACCAGTAATGTTCTCCACTGGGCATAGCTTGAATATATATGACATCAAAGCCTGCCTGTACAGTTAAATACTTCCTCCAACAAAACTACATCTACTCCCACAAGGCCACAACCCCTTATAATGCTATTTTCTAGGGGTCAAGCACTCAAACACATGTGTCTATGGAGGTCATACCTATTCAAACAACAATATTCCTCTCCATGGTGCCCTAAGTTTAGTGTCATAATATAATGAAAACTGCATTTAGTCTAACTACAAAAATTTCCATAGTCTGTCACAGGCTCAACAATGTTTAAAAGTTCAAAGTGCAGAGTCTCTCCTGAAACTCATGCAGTCTCTCAACTGGTATCCCCTATAAAATCAAAATAATAATAATAATAATAATAATAATAATAATAATAATACTAGATCACATACTTCCAACATGCACATTAACATTTGAAAATGGAGGAAAGAGAGGATAGTGAAGAAATACCGAACAAAAACCAACTCTGCATCTCCATGTCTGATATCAAAATGCTTTTCAGATTTCTAATGCCTTTCAGCATTATTGACTAAACTTCATTTTCTAGGGTTTTTTTTTATTGCTTTATAAATAATACCATCAAAATTTCCACTTCCTTCCCTCCCCCCATTTCCCTCTTACTCCCCATTCACCCTCTTCCCCTCCCCCTCCAGTTCTAAGAGAGGGCAGGGTACCCTGCCCTGTATGAATTCCAAGCCCCTCCCCCCTCCATCCAGGCTTAGGAAGGGGTGCATCCAAATAAACTAGGATCCCAAAAAAGCCACTACCTGAAGTAGATACAAATCCCAGTGCCATTGTCATTGGTTTCTCAGTCTGCCCCAATTGTCAGTCACATTCAGAGGGTCCCATTTGATCACGTGCTCGTTCATTCCCAGTCCAGCTGGCTTTAGTGAGCTCCCATTAGATCTTGGGCTGTTTCCACTCCTTGTTATCAGCTTTCCTCAGCAGGAATCCCATGGTTCTGGCATATCTAACATCTTGGTTGTCTACAAGGCAGTTCAGGCTTCACCTTCACTTCACAAAATGGCTTCTCTGGGCCTCCATTCAATAACATCCCTGACACAATCCTAGTTTCAGTGGTTTTCCTTAGTCTCAGGGGCGAATTCCATAGCCTCTTTCTTTTATCTTTAACTCCAGAGCCACATGGTCAAATCTATTACGTTCTACTGCTACTGGGGCTTGAACTTGACCACCTTATTACAATTATATCTTCACTAGCCTTCTATTTTTGATGATTTCCTTCACTTCTTAAGCATGGCTGTCCTGGAACTTTCTCTGTAGACCATGCTGACCATGAACTCAGAAATCTGCTTACCTCTGTATCCTACGTGCTGGAATTAAATGTGTGTACCACCACATCCACATCTGGACCTAAGCTGTCCTTTAATTTCTTTTCACAAGTTAGAAGCTTAGCTGGGTGGAATCTTGCCTTCAGGTTGCCCTTCTCTTCATTCCATTTAACATCAAGCTTTATATAAATGTTTATCTCCTTTAAGGCAGAACTTTAGTTAGTTTCCTCCTACTTTCTGAAGTACCTTTTATCCTCAAATTGTATATTTTGTATTTTTCCTTACTGTTTGCTCCTTAGAGAGCTTCATAAGAGTGACCATTAATAATCAAAAGACAGAATCATTACAGGGCTGTTTTGAGATTTCTTTTACCAAATTTCTTTACTTTAGCCTCAGGCAGACTCTTAGGTCAATGGTGAAAATCAGCCACATTCTTCACCAAATATTACAAGGAAGATCTCCAGGCAACATATTAAAATTCTTCTCCTCTGAATCCCCTGGAGACAGGTCTCCACAGTTCAAATCACCCTCAACACTACTATCATCCACGACCTACAAGTATGGCACATTAAAAAGTGCTTAAATCATTCCACAGCTTTCCCAACTCCAAGTCGCCAAAACACAGTCGGTCCCTATATCACATCCATATATCACAAGGATGTGATATAGGGATATCTGGTTTAGAGATGAACATTCTTTTAATCTTATATGGTCTATACCTTGATGAGTTTTAGGTCTTTGTGTTAAAAACCATCTACAGTCAAAAGAACCTTCTTGGATGAATCTTGAAAGATGCACTAATCTACAGATTAATCATCTAGGAGTTCATTAATTCTCTCTATATATTTATCTGAATATTAACAAATGTTCTTTCTTATAACTATGAATGACTTAGCTTTGGATTCTTGACCCTGTTAACATTTCTAGGCACAACTCCTGTCTTGTGGATTGACATTATTTCCAGTAAGAAGTTTGTTAGTTACTCTCACAACAGTAATGCCACTATTACACCACTAGGCCAATCACTGTAGCTTGCAGGTTTCACAGCTGAGTAAGACTGGAGATTTTTTTCTCCTATAATTAATGTATTTATAACCTTCAGCACTACCAAAGATGAAAAGTAAGGATGAAGCTTCATGCAGTCTTAGCTCAATTTCTATATGTTGTATGAGTCAAGCAAGTGGCATCTTGATAAATAGAATCTTGACATTAAGATCTATAGGGCAAGCAAGAGCAGTGGGAATATGTGGCAATGGAAGGGGGTCTGGGGGAACCCACAGGCTAACAACACAAGGTAATCCTTAGGTAAAACTTATTACTGGTATTGAGGTGTTTATGTGGCAGACTGTGATATCCGTGAGAGGCATTGTTGCCATGTTATAGGGTAACTCAATTTCACTCATTTCATATATATAAAGCTTTCTTTAGTAGTAAGTTTTTAGTTTGCTTTTTTCACACTCTTTTGTCTACCCAGCCTTCCCATCCCCTCCCTATTTAACATGCCTTTCGCCATTG